TAAGTACTGCATTGAAAAAGGATCAAAAACTTGTAAGTATAAAAAAGTAACTAGCGCATAGGTAAAAAAAAAGCAGAAAAATAAGTGCCAGCCAGTGCCCTATAAAATGAAAATTGAACAACAGAACCACAACAACAACAAAGAAACAAYTAATAATGTCCCTTTTTCCTGCTTCGTGGATTTGTACTTGTACCATGTCAAATGATCACTTTTCCAACAGGTTCGACAGTCCTTGGAGTCGTTATTGCCATTCTAGTTCTCTCTATTGGTTTSAACTTACTACAATTTGTGTATCTAAAAAGAAGAGTACAACTGAGCAGTAAGTTTGTTTGTTCACTTTCCTTAGCTAATTTTGGCAAATTCCATAGCACCTGCGCGCTCCTCAGTTTAGTGTGTTGGAAATAGTACTGAACTCACCAGGATTTAATTACAAAATGGCGTTTTTCTCAAATTCTTGTATTACATGTTTCCTCATTTTATTCTCGTCATTTGTTTTTTCTTTTCTTTTTTCTTCACCTTCTTTATAGGTAGAAAACAAAGCCCAATCCAAAAGAGGTAACATTGTTGTGAGGCATACATGGTTTATACGTGTATATATTTTTAGTTAGGGTCAAGTCTTMTTAGYTGCTGTAATAACGAAGGGATATCTTTTTTTAAATTGTCTAAATAGAGGAATTCATTTTTATACTGTGCAGCACAGTAAAAWTGTAGTGATCATATTAWTTTTTTCTTTCATATTAAGAAAACCTCGGTCAAAGAAAGTTGCTTCTGAAGAAACCTACGAGGCACGTAACATGTTTTCCTCTTAGTTTTGTCGTTGTTTTTGATATTTTCTCTTTTTTACAAAGAGCTAGCGCTGGAAGCTTTAAAGAACCTCAGATCACAGCCATTTGTATTATTTTTCAGAATGATCTTGAATTGGAAGATAATCCAGCATCATTGGATACAGCATCTCGTSCACAACAGCCTGTTCAAAGTGGATCAGAATATGAAACCATCCAYAAACTAAWTCCTAACAAGGCARRCTYGTCTAATGATGCCAGTAATTATCAAGGACTCAATTTGATGCCAAACACGTCTAATCAAGGGACATGTGKACCAGTGTACGAGTCTCTTGGTACAGGATTAGTGGAACCCAGAGTGAAGGATAATGATAATGAGCAACACCCATATGAACCATTGAACATTAGAAACCAAACCTCTGTCTATCAATCTCTGCAGACTAAAAGCAGTGAGTCGGCCATATAAATTTGAGAATATCCAGGTCATAATCAATATTAACTGGCTACATATTATAAATAATAACTACCAAATCATTTTACCTCTAATTACAACTTGAATAAAGGTGTTGTTTCTTGATACTTATTTGTTAAGTATTAACAAGTTAACAGAGAACTATAAAAATTTAAGGTTTCAATATGCCAATATTTTATCAGGCAATTTGTTCAGACATTCTGTCTGAAACTTTGTGTGCAACACATAAAGATAGTGGGAGCATTTGAAAATTTGCTCATTTTCACCTGACCAAGATGGAATGTAAAAGAGACATTGATTTGTAGAATACCGAAAACATTACTTTTTCTTACTTGTCATCATCTTTTTATCTGACAAATAAACAATTAAACAAACATTTAACAAATAATTCATCATAACTGTCAGCCAATCAGATTGCGACTAAATACGAGCCCTCCAAACCTATAGTCTTGCTAAAAACTACTTGTACATGCAATAGTTTCGTATGAACATAGTTAACATATTAACTATGGTATGAATGATAAGCGTTTGGAAACCTTGAATCTTCGTTATATAATAGATAAATTATATTGACAGTGTCTAAAACTCCTATTAGGATTATCCTTTTATTTTCAGATAATCATTAAAAAATCATTGCATGGCTATTATTTTCGATCTAATTCTTAAATATGGAGTTATCGACAAGTTCAAATGTATGTTTCAGTGTGTCACGTTTCAATATTAAACTTGTCCCATTATCAAAACCAATGCTCAACACATGTAATTATTGATCTTATATCTTTCCCTTATAAACTGTTGTTTCATATCGAAATAAAGTTTTACAATAGCTTGCAATTTTCTCGCGCGCTGCTTGGTTATCTTTTATCGTCAATAACAGGACAGACAGATAAAGCTGAAGTCAACGAGGGCGCGTTCTCCCCTTTGGTTGTTTTGATCAGTACAAACAAGAAATTTTTATAGTTTTGTTATTGTAAAAAACAAATAGCCATATTAGTTTTTTATGTGTCTGAAAATGCGCCATCACATTGTCAAAGTAGTATGTGGATCCTTCGGCTACGCCTCGTGGATCTCTGGGCCTTTCAAAACTTCAAGTCGCGTAAAATATGAACCAGCTTACATATACACTTACTTATAATTACTTTCATATACAATCGCAGTACCGATATTCAACACAACTAAATATGGGTTCAACAACTGCCCCAAGATCTCTTCGAAGGATTTCTCGTCTAGTATTGAAGAACGAGCACGTTTCGAATCGGAAATGGTCTACCTTGGACCTTGGAAGTTAGTCCTGTCAGTCTGCCATGGACGTCTTCATGCACGTGGTAAAGGCTACTTCACATCAAGAATCCGAATTCAACTGTTAGTTTCAACCTAAATCGATTAATTTTGTGTGGAGATGTAGCAATAAACCCTGGTCCTATACTGCGAAAATATTATTTTTCTACGCAACCTATTTTTGACGAGAACTCTTCTACGAAGTGCTTGACAATCGGTGCATGGAATGTTAACCGACTCAGTGACTCTAAATTCCAGGAAATTAAAGTATTGCTGAGCTCCCAACAAATAGACATCTTATTTTTGGTTGAAACATTTCTGAAACCCCAAAAAACTGACTCAGTGTACGCAATCCCAGGCTATCAAATGCATCGTAAAGATAGAGCTGGTAAAACAAATGGTGGTGGAATCTTGGCTTATGTTAACAATAACCTGAAGGTAAGCCGCGCGGCTGAACTTGAAGAGAGTGATATTGAAATTCTCTGGCTTAATGTTTGTCCCTATAAGTCGAGGCGCTCGTTGTTAATTGGAACTGTTTACAGACCACCCTCGTCAAACGCTGCTTTCGACCGTTGTTTAGAAGCAAACATTGAAACAGCTTATATTAAAAACAAGGAGACTCACATTTTGGGTGATTTTAACATTGATTTTCTTCAACCAAGTTATAAAAAACATACGCTTAGTAAGGCCTTAAAAACAATGAATCTCACCCAACTGGTTCATTCTGTTACGCGCCCAGTCAGCAAAACATGCCTTGATCATTTCTACACAACAAATCCTGAATTTATTACTGATGTCAAAATACCCGCTATTGGCCTAGCCGACCATTTACCTGTTTTCGTTCGGCGAAAATACACCCGCCAATATGCAGAAACGCCGAACTCGGATTACATAACAGTAAAATATCGGAATATGAAAACTTGGAATATTGATGATTTATTATCCGACCTCTCTCTTGTCCCTTGGGATGCTGGCTTTGTCTTTGATGATATAGATGATATTCTACACACTTACGAGACGCTACTAAATAGTGTTCTAGAGCAACACGTTCCCATCAGAGAGAAACGCGTGAAGAGGCAAGTTCAGCCTCCTTGGTTCAACAAATAAATTGGTCAAGCAATCAGAGAGAGAGATTCACTGCTAAAAAGAGCAAGGAAGTCTAATTCTTCTGATGACTGGTACAAATTCAAACGAGCTCGGTGTAAAACTGTAAATTTTATTAAAAAGTCAAAACGCCTGTACTTCAGTGAATCAATCGAACGGAACAAAGGAAATTCTAAAGGTATTTGGCGTGCTTTACGTACCCTCAGTGGGAAACCCGAAAGTGCAACAAGGATTAGTGCATTGAAAACTGACAATGGCATCGCATCCGAACCAACCCAGATCGCTGACTCATTAAACAATTATTTTGTTAACATCACCTCTCAACTGAATATCAGCAATGAAGTAAATAATGGCGGTTGTAATGATGAAAAACTGCAGAACTTTATTAGATCACGTATTGATGCTGAATCTATCTTCAAAATCCCTCTACTAACGGAAAATGAGACCGCAGAAATTATCAACAAGATACCAACTAATATTGCAACTGGTCCTGATGGAATAAGTGCCCGTGTTCTTAAAACAGTGGCTCCAGTCCTTGCATTTCCACTTCACAAGTTGTTAAACCTTTCAATTTCTTCAGCAGTCTTCCCATCAACATGGAAAATTGCCCGTGTAACTCCTATTCACAAGGATGGTCCTCGAGATGATAAAAAGAACTATCGTCCAATTTCCGTCTTGTGTACATTTTCTAAGATATTAGAAAAACATGTTGGAAACTCTCTGCTCAATTACCTTCAAAACAATAATCTTATTTATACCAATCAGTCAGCTTTTCGCAAATATCATTCAACCGAAACCGCACTAATTAAACTAACAGACAAACTTTTGTTTAATATGGATAATGATCAATTGTCTGGCCTCGTTTTCATTGACTTTAAAAAAGCGTTTGATGTGATCAATCATGACATATTGTTACGCAAACTAAGTTTGTATGGTGCTACAGACCTCACAGTTAATTGGTTCAGATCATATCTATCAACCCGAAAACAATATGTCCAACTATCTGACATTTCTTCTTCAGTCGTGCCGATAACAGATGGAATTCCTCAGGGATCAAATCTGGGTCCGATCCTGTTCCTATTATTATTTGTGAATGATTTACCACTGAGCCTCGGAACTTTCACTTTAGATATATATGTTGACGATGCTACACTTTCTGCAAGCTCTAAATGGGACAAGCCCAATCATATTAGTTCGTCATTGCACAATGATCTTCATAACATTGAAATGTGGACACAAGCTAACAAGATGGTAATTAATGAAGACAAGACCAAAGCCATGTTGATCGTTGGTAAAAGATTGCGTAAACGCGATGGAATTAATGAAACTCTAAACATTAACCTAAACAACAAGGCCATCGAACAGGTCCAGCACCACAAGCTGCTTGGCATTGAGTTGGATGATAACCTAGACTTTAGCAACCATATTCAAGAAAACCTTTGCAAAAAGCTAACAAAGCGTATTGGATTACTAAGGCAAGTTAGCCCCTATTTGAAACGTTATCAAAGGGAACTTTACTACAATACAGTAATTAAGCCAGTAATGTTATATGGTTCGTCTGTATGGGCGTACGAGCATCAGGGGTTTGAAAGTAGGGTTTTTAAATTGCAAAAAAGGGCAGCTAGAATAATTACTAGTTCTGATTGCTATAGTAGCTCAATAACTATATTTAATTCTTTAAACTGGATACCATTTTTTGCTGACTCTTATATAAATCGTCTTGCATTAATTTTTAAAAGGGTAAATGGCCTTACGCCGCCATATCTTAATGAAACTCTAAGAATCAATTCCGACGTTCATAATCGAAATACTAGATTTAGTAAACTTAATCTTAATTGCCCATTTTACAAGAAAACGACCGAAGGCGGTCGTACTTTTTCTGTAAGGTCAATTCAGGATTGGAATTGTCTCCATAAGAGTTTAAAGGAATCCAGTAGTTTTAAATCCTTTAAGAAGAGCCTTTTTAACAGTTTAATGAAGAAACAGAAAACAGACCTAATCTTCCATTCATAATTATTCTAATTAACTAATTAACGATTAGTATAGACCAAGAGCGAAACTCACAGTGGTGTGGGGCTTGGCTTGTGGACGGAGGATCTGGCGCTAAAGTCACAGATCGCGCCGGATCGGTTTGTTCACGGGTTGAGCCCTGTATTGGTGTGGGTTTTGCATTTGGTCTATTCTATTAGGTTTCAATTTTATTAGGTTTCAATTTTTAAGATTCTATTAACATATTCATATACTTTTATACATATATATGTAAATAAATATTTAATATATAGAGAGTGAGTTAGAGTAAGAGTGTGAGAGAGAGAGAGAGAGTGTGTGTGTGTTAGATATTGATTTTTCTTTTATAGAGGGCCACAGGTTTGTCAGTTTTTAGTACTGTTACGTGTTTTACCCTCTTTAAATAAAGTTTATTGATTGATTGAGCGTAAACACAAGGTCAACCTTCGATGAACCACAAACAATTATTCATTTGACAATGAGCAAATGTTAAGAGTCAAAACATGGTCTGCTAGTGTGTAGGCCTTCTGGTCGTTCTTTATACATGAAATATATTATCACTACAAGATCTTCATCCATATAGTACAGTGACGACCCATTCATAGATGACTTTCATCAAAAATCAAAACATTTCGCTCTCAGTAGTTATTATAATCTGGATTTTGCTTTTACTTCCTCGTGTGGGTAAGTTAATTATTTCTCTTCTTCTTCAGGACAATGGTAAAAACAAGTTGTATGTTCGATATGCGTAATCACCTTTTATAAACTATAAAAAATCTATAAGGTATTTGATTTTAACAATAAAACTGACGCAGATTTATTATTCAAAGTACTTGATGCTTTCATCGTTCAATTGGCAGAACTACGAGTTAGATTATGCAATGTAAATGCAAAACATGAACAATAATGCTCACCGAGACTAAGCGACCAAAATATTTGCAGTTATTTGCGCGGTTTCTCTTCTTATGTACACTCAATTGAAGAATAGCTGTCGTGTTCAGAAACCATTAACATAAAAGCTGAGACCGAAATGGCACACGCTAAATGACATAATTATAATTTATTCATTTGCGCCATCCATGCAGTCGGTTTAGAATGCCAAACGCGTATTAAAAACAGTGGATGATGCGACGGGTCGCCAGTCAAAACATGCATCTAATTAACGTACTTCCCATGGCCATGTGCCCCGGCAACGATTTTTCAAATGAGTGTATATAATCCTTCTTTGTTTTTTATAGTCCATGAAACAACCTCGAAAGCCTCCCTCGTCTGTGATTGGTTGTATTCACACGATTTCACAATGATCTTTATTTTTTACTGATATAGGTGCACACAATGATCTTACTAATACCGGATTTGTAATGGCTATTTATGTATTAGGTTTGACAAGTATACTTTAATTAAGAAAATATTTTTTCGTCATCAAAAAATGAAGCTTCAAAAGAATTAAAACAACCGTTACAATTTCCTTCCTTTTACATGGTTCAGAAACCGCAGTACGTTTCACTCACCATCCTCCCAGTGTGCTGTACGTACAGACAGGACAATCTGCCAGGTTCGTGTGGGATTACACCGTTGACAACAGGAGCGTAGAGTTTGGTCTGAATTCACCAGAATGGAGGTTTTACGATTCTCAGAACAGACGATCAGTTATTGGTAGTGAAAATGGTACAAATGGATGGCAATGGGCTATCGATTACAGCCAATGTCCTACCAGGTTATTAATTCCTACTGTTCGAATCAGTAAAGAGTCCACTGCTACTCTGGTCATCTCTAATGTCACTACTGCTGATAATGGTGTATATGCATGTACTTTGGTGTTGTCAGCAGGATCATCTATAGTTAGTAAAGTACAACTCATCGTTACAGGTATGCCACAGGAATTAATTACATTTAATTACATATTCTAAGATTTAGTCAGGTAATCTAGTAAAGGTTTTTTTTGACATTTCAATTGATTTGATATAGTTCCCCCAGGTCCTGTAACCATAACAATAGACGATGTAGAAGCATCATCCATAACTGTCAGATGGACCAGACCTGCTGATAACGGTGGAAGTCCTGTCACTGGCTTCAAGGTTGAAGTCAGTACCAGACCACCAGTGATTACAGTGAATACTCATACTGTTATAACAGGACTGAAAGCGAATACACAGTACACGGTCAAAGTGTATGCTCGAAACGTTGATGGATATGGCAAAGAATCATTGAAGGTCATCTCTACCAAGAAACAAGGTAATTTGTTTTAAATTGTGATATATGCACATGTTTTGTCATGCTTTTCTTAGAAAATCTCTCAATCTAAGAAACAATTTAAAAAAGTCAACCGATTTCATTTACACCTTCCAGCCTTACAATTTACCTTAATTTAAACTAATTCTTAATCTTTCCAACAAACGAGAGACAATAGAGATTACAAACCTAAGCTTTGTTTCGTTACTATGTTCTTATCTAGGCAAACCAGGTGTTCCTCAACTAACAATAAGCATCACCCATACCGTAGAATTATTTGTCAGATTGACATGGACAAAACCAGATGACAATGGAGGAGAAATCATAATGTATACCATTTACATGAAAGAGAAAGATGACTTTAAATGGACAAAAGTTATATATATAATTGATTCAACAGTTCTGGAGTATATATTTACAAAAAGTATTCAATACGGAAAAAACTGTACGTTTCTAGTGACTGCATGGAATAAATACGGAGAAAGTGTTAACAATGATGTGATGGCGAAGACAATATCCATACCTCTGACTAAACCGACAACTGACACGAACACAAGTGGTACGTGGAAATAATCATGATTTAACTTCACTTCATCTTGCCTCAGTAGCTCGTGTCTTACAAACTTGTGCCCCACCCTCCACCCTACTCCCGTTCAATAAGTTCGTTGTTATTGTCATTATTTTATTTTACTTGATACGGTTTTCTTTGTTGTTCGTACGGCTTTATATCCCATATATCCCTGCTCATTACGAATTCATACTATATATCTAGATTAGATCCTTGAATAGCTTGACTACATAATTGAATAGCTTCGTTATAATGGGCTTCACTAACAAAAGTTTCCCTTTGTTTATAGGTTATAAAGGTAACACTATAACCAGCTATATAGACACAAGTGGAAAACACTCAAAATGTAAGCAATGAAATATTGAAGATTCTAAACTGGATTTCACTCTTAATGATAGAATTGTGCAAAGAACACACCCAAAATGCAATATTATATTATGCAGAACGTAAACATGCTTAAATACGATTGCTTAGTCATTACAATTTGTGTTGAAAGCATTTTAAGTGGACTTTGTGCAATACTTAATCATGTGTCTGATACAATAGAAGATAAATAAGTCACTTTTTTTACATTCTGCATCTCATATGATATCTTGAAACTCATTAGATATAGGTAAAAATGTAAATTAGAGTGCTTTTGATAAAAGCGTGAAACGCTAATTGCTAAATAGTACTATTTTGTTAAAAATTAGTTGAAGCTTGAAGAGCAAATGGACACGTGCGTAGAATAAAAAAATATTAACAATACACAAGTATAATGGTTTGAACGCTTTTATCAATTCCTGCAAAATCAAGACACAAGACACATTTCAAGCTAAAATATCCACCATACGCAAGTTAAAAGGTTTTAAAATTTTTATTCCTTCGCGCTGCTGCAAAATCAAGGCACGAGATACATCTAAAGCTAAAATAACCGCAAGCGAAATGGTTTGGCACACTAGAAGAATAAGTGCTACTTACTCTATTGTAGCTTGCTCAACTTACAAATACTCTGGCTGGCTGTAAACGTCAATGAATATACACGGCATTCAGTATCACAAAAGTAATCATACGTTGTCGTTTTGTTGCATTTTGTACACAAGCGTTTCTAAAACGTGCTTGACTGCGTTTGACTTGATTTGATTACAAAAGTAATCATACCTAGTCGTTTTGTTGCATTTTGTACACAAGCGTTTCTAAAACGCGCTCGACTGCGTTTGACTTGATTTGATTACAAAAGTAATCATACCTAGTCGTTTTGTTGCTTTTTGTATACAAGCGTTTCTAAAACGCGCTCGACTGCGTTTGACTTGATTATTCGCACAATCGCGATTCAGTGATTGCACGTGCACACTAAATTTACTAATTACTAATTTGTACAAAATAGTACAATTTAGTATTTGTAAAGTTTCACGCTTTTACTAAATGCACTCTACAACCTTTTTGCAATCAAGTGTGTGTGTATATATATATATATGTTGCAATATGCATAAGTTTCGACCCTTTTGATATAAATTATACAAGTATATCAAAAGTATATAATAAATAATGGGATATTTCGCCTGTCAGTATAAAATCTGAAGGATATATGTATATTTTAGTTCAACATATATTTTTATTCAAAGTTCTTATCGGTGTTGGTGTCGTAGCTCCGATATTTGTTGTTTTGCTGGTTCTTAACGTACTACATTTTCTATACACGTGGAAAAAGACCAATGCCAATGGTATGTGTAAACGCTACGATTTACACCTAATTGAAAAAACGTAGTCGGGTTCGAGATGGTCATATTATGGAAGCTAAGACAGAAAAGGATTATGGGTACTCCTAAATGTGTATTATATTTGCATATAGACATGTAAAAATGCACAGTAGAGCAAAGTCAGCCGACCTAGATTGACAACATACCAAAGCCATGATGCATAAAATGTGCACAGGAAGGGAAAACTGCAATACGCATGAAATTAGCATAATTGTTTGTCTTCCCATGCTCCCCTTCGGTCTTAGCTTTGATGATATATAACCACTTTTGAACCCGGCCACGTTTTTTTCAATTAGGTGTATTCAAATTCAAGACTAGTGGTACATATAAAAACTATGATTTACGACGAACTAAAATATACACTTATTTCAATAAAGTTAGTCACCTGAAAAGCTATAAAGCTGAGGCCGACAAGGATCATGGGTAGATTCATTTTACTCGTTCAACCGCTCATGTTCATGGACTTGCGAATCTTTTACCGGTTACAGTCTCACCTCTTCTGAGCATCATCGAGCTGCAGTTTGTATTAAGAAAGCTTTGTATATATATGCTTTTTTGATATGAAAAGTTTCCCATGATGCTCAGTGATCTCCGCTTTCTAGGTTTTTGATGACTAACTTTATTGAAATAAGTGTTTGACTTTTATTCGAAAGCCCCGGCCTTACTTCCAGCTACTTTCCTAATTGTTACAGCACATCGATATATAAACTACTAACACATATTAATAACATAACTGATTTAACTCATGACTTATGGCTTAATTATTTCTTAGTGGAAAACGGAAGAAACACAAGTGAGGAAACGTAAGTATTTTTATCCTTATTATTTCGAATTCGTAGGTTTCCTATTTCCAGACAATTAATATGATATCCTTTCGCTAGGTTTTCTTGCTGCTACAATTCCCAATTGTTTAACAACGCGTTACCGTTATCACGTTTTATGTAATTGTTTTTATCTCATATTATTGAAGGACAACTAATCAGCAAGAAGTGGATGGTCAATCATACGAAGTAGGTAGATCTTCATGCAACTAAAAAACGATACAGGAATATACCAAACTTTTTATTATTTAGCATTCTATAAATGGGTGTGGGTATGTTTTTATTTTCGAATTCATCGCGTTCTTGGCTTTTCGTCACGTCTGTTTCAAAAGCAGGCTTTCATTATATTTGGCCATGGTGAGTCTTTTAAATAAAATGTTTTTATTATGGTCTAGAAAAAAATTACATTCAAAAGCTCATTCACTTGCAATACAAAAACAAAAATCATATTAATTTTATAAAGTTATAGTCTTGAGGCTTTCGTGTTTTTATATAGATTATACATAAGGTTTTTTAAGTTTTGAAGCACGATGTGTTAAAAACATTTTGGATGTTTCAAAACAACTAAACAACTATAAAAACTCTGCACCTATTATCATACCTCATTCTAATGAAGACTACCACAGCGTAGACGACGAAACGTCAAAAATGTTTTTAACACATCGTGCTTCAAACCGTAAATGTATAATTTATAAGTTATATTTTGCTGCTGATACACGATAATCGATCACTGAATATTGCCTAAAGCACTGAAGAAACCAAATTCAATGGTTTAAATGCAACTTCCTGAAATTTAGTTATCAATGACTTTTTTCTTTCTTTAATTTTCTTTAATTTTGAAATTATTTTTTAGAACGCAATCGAATTAAGTAACACATCATTGTCGGCTATAAAATCGGGATCTAGTCCAACATTAAGTTCGGCCCCTGAACAAGATGAAAACGGAAGAAACACAAGTGAGGAAACGTAAGTATTTTTTTCACTTATTTCGAATTCGTAGGTTTTCTATTTGCAGACAATTAATATGATAACATTTCACTAAGTTCTCTTGCTGCTACAACTACTTATTCAAATAATAATTTTCTATGCGTTACCGTTATCACGTTATATTTATTTATTTATTTTATCTCATATTATTGTAGGACAACTAATCAGCAAGAAGTGGATGATGAAACATACGAAGTAGGTAGATGTTCATGCAACCAAGAAAAAAAAAGTACAGACTTATACCGTATTTTTTAAATTTAGCATTCTATCAATGGTTTTGAGTATGTTTTTATTTTCGAATTCATCATATAATGTTCTTCTGTTCGTTACGTTTGTTTGAAAAACAAGCTTTCATTATTACATTTTGGTCGTTTAAATCAAATTTTGTTATGATGGGCTAGAAAAAAATTAAATTCAAAACTTAGTCACTTACGATACAAAAACAATAATAATTAATATTTATTTTATAAGTTATAGTTTGCTGCTGATACACGGTGATCGATCCCTAAATATTGGCTAAAGCGTTAAAGAAACGAAGCTCAATGGTGTAAATGCAACTTCCTGAAATTTTGGTATCAATAACTTTGTTTTTCGATTTAATTTTCTTTAATTTGCAATTATGTTATTATTTTTTAGAATGAAATCGAATTAAGGAGCGCATCATCGTCCGCTATGAAATCGGGATCTAGTCCAGCATTAAGTTCGACTTTTGAACACGATTCTGTCGAATTGCAACAACCACATGGTGATCAAATTCATGTCAAGACCATTGTCAATGAGATACCCTGTACGTCTAATGGACCAAGTCATTATCAGGAATTGTTGCCTATTAACACTTCACAGGACCACAAAAGACCAGTGTACGAACCTCTTCGTACAGGAGTCCCGCGTAATGATAGTGACAGCACAATACCAGTGTACGAACCTCTTCGTACAGGAGTTCCGCGTAATGATAGTGGCAGCACAATACCAGTGTACAAACCTCCTCGTACGGGAGTCCTGCGTAATGATAGTGGCAGTACAATACCAGTGTACGAACCTCCTCGTACGGGAGTCCCGCGTAATGATAGTGACACCACAATACCAGTGTACGAACCTCCTCGTACGGGAATCCCGCGTAATGATAGTGACAGCACACTACCAGTGTACGAACCTCTTCGTACGGGAGTCCTGCGTAATGATAGTGGCAGTACAATACCAGTGTACGAACCTCCTCGTACGGGAGTCCCGCGTAATGATAGTGACAGCACAATACCAGTGTACGAACATCCTCGTACGGGAGTCCCGCGTAATAATAGTGACAGCACAAAACCAGTGTACGAACCTCTTCGTACAGGAGTCCCACGCGATGATAATGACAGCACAATACCAGTGTACGAACCTCCTCGTACGGGACTCCCGCGTAATGATAATGACAGCAGAATACCAGTGTACGAACCTCTTCGTACAGGAGTCCCGCGTGATGATAATGAGACGAGCATGTACCAACCACTTGGTTTGATAAACCAAGGTTCAAATTAACAGACCCTGCATGCTAATGGGAATGACATAAAGTGCATTAAACTATAACTTTTCATATATTTTGAGTTTGAGTTTGAGTTTTTAGAGCAAAATTATTTTTAGATGAGTTGGTCAAGTGACCTTGGACCTCACTTCCACGAGCCCCAAAATTTTGAATTAAAATGAGCAGAGGGTTATCGTTTGCTCATAAAACTTACGTTATGGTGTATTTAAACTTCTCCACAGAAGACGTAGGTGACTCTGCCCTATCACCTGACCTGCAATTGCTCGTTTAGATGATATTATGCAAAATATAGGACACATAAACTGCTTGTTCAATCAAACAATTACCCTAAATAAGCAAAGATAGTCCAGGTGTTTAGACGTATCCTTATACCTTTTATTATGAAGAATATATGGAAATACAACATAACGTTTTAGGTACAGATGATAACCATTGCCCTTTTTATTTCTATTTTTTTATGGTTTCGTGAGCAATTGAGGATCAAGGTTACGTGACCGCCTCTTCATCCTAAAAACTAAAGATCATAAAGTTATGCGTCGATTTCAAATTTAATTTGGTAAGGATCGAGTGAAAAACGACAACATAAAATAAAACGATTTTTGGCCCTCGACCCAGGCCTTTTACCTAAAAGTACTAAACCTTCAGAATACCTCACTAACCGGTTTTGATAAATGTGCTTATATCGGGATCCGGCGCTGCCTACGTGAAGCAATGACTTAGTTGTGAACATGATTCCGCACCTTTTAGACTGAATAAATCGATTACCTGAAGTCACAGCCGCAATATTGGTGTACATTTGACAATAACACAAATATAACTGCCACCTCTAATGTCAGTCTTTAGGGATGAGAAGAAGCAGTCTATTGATCTGACTTTTCTTTGTTGAAGAAACGCCAAAGAAAAGGAGAACATATAAGGGGTTGAAATCAATATGCCTTCAACAGCTTTTTTAATTTATGCATACCTAGTAGGGCTTGCATTTATAAGCGCCCGCTGATCACGCGCTTACCACTTGGAGGTCATACATACAGTTACTAATAACCTCATTTTGTGTTTTGTTCCAATAAATTGTTGATCTTGTATTGTTTTTGTTTCCTCTTGCACTTCATTCACAGGTTAGTCTAAGAAAAACACTAAACTAAAGGTATTATGAAAATTAAATTTAAGATTAACAAAAATCAAAACGTTAGCTTATTAAAAGTCTTGGACCGTTATTTTAATGATTTAGCGATGAAGTTACATGGATTGAGATGGGAGCTTAAAATGAGCCGAAAAACTGAAAATCATAGGCGCGTGTCATGCATATGACAATTCCGAAACAACAAAGACTGAAACTCCATCTTTTGTATATCTCATCTAACAACAGACTACTATGTTTAATGTGAAATTGTCGTGATCCCAAAATTTAAAGGCGTACTTCCTTTGTATATTGATTGACAGAGCGGAAAAACCGGACGCATGCGCATTAGAGACTATTTTCATGAGCAATCCAATTTATAAAATAAATTAAATAGTACGCACGCTGTGATTGGTTGATAGCCATGTTTGCATGAGGATATGTAAACACAGTT